ATCACATGTGAAGTCGCGTAACTGTTTTGTGAGGGGATAGTTCGTTGTCGCTGAATAGTAAAACGCTATTTGAAAAACAGTGAGTTATGTTTGGTGCAAAAAGAGTGGGGGGTGAGGTCGGGGTGGGGGTGGGGGGTGGGGGGGAGACTGGCCTTGTTGCCAAGGGTCTTTGGTCACTCCAAGTTGACTTTCAAAATAAAGGATTTTACTTTCACAAGTCCCTTGTTTTATAATCCCCTCCCTTTTCTGTAGCCATTGGTTAATACGTAAAATGTCGGTTACATATTATACAAATAAAACCAAACAAATTTATGTAGTAGAAATACTGACGGGATCGCGTTTAGACATTGTTTTTTTTCTCGTGTATTTAGAACTGTACGCCTCACACTACTGTGTTGAACCGCAGCACGCTTTCACGTACTTAACGTCTTCAGAATACGAAATTTTGACACTTAGTAATCTTTAATCTTCAGTGTTGTTAAACCGACTTAAGTCAACACTTCACATTTGGTAATAGAGTCGACTTCTTTTGAAGTGTTCTGATTTTAAGGTAGCGAATTGACGTAGCCACACGGGTTTGTGGTGGGTAATTGGGGCTATACGGGACTGAACAGGTGCATTTGATGGTATTTCAATAAAAAAAGGCTTTTAAATTTTAACGAATTCTGGCCTGTTCGCCAGGGCGTACCTTGTTCTAGGTGTGTTCTGGCGACTACTACTAAGGACGGAAAATTAGACAATGACATTGTAATGTATATGTCATTTTATTATAATATTATTATTATTATTATTATTATTATTATAATAATATTATAATAATATTATAATATTATTATTTCGATTGATCATTAAGATAATCCATTAACCAAATATGACCGTCTGACGCCTGATTAGCGAGGGGGGGGGGAGGGCATTGTAATTTCGTAGTTTTTATAGCAAACTGGGGTGTTTTTTTGCTTCATTTTAATCCCATATACAATCGTTCTCTCTCTCTCTCTCTCTTTCCTGGCGGATTATAAGGAATAGCTGATTACATTCTGTTTTAAAAATACATGTACACATGCTACACTTTTGATTATGAAAATCGCAAAAAGAAATCACGCGAGGGGGGAGGGAGGCCATGGAAACCATCATGTAACAGTACTCCATTACTATTGCTGCTGTCTGTTTGCAATATAGCGTAGACACACTCGGCGTCGCTCTCTTTTCGCAGATTCAGTTATGTCGAGCTGGTATCAAGTCTGATTTAAAAACAGCCATAAATTCTATAAAAAACACACTTGTTAGTTTTGGAAGGGTCATTTAAAGTGATTCATCTCCCGTGAAATGATTTGTATAGCAGCCGGTGAATACTATTGTTACTGAAATATAGCTATTTGATTTGAGAAACTCAAAATCCGTTGAACGCTCGAGCAAGCTGCTCCGCAATATGGTGACAAATAATTCAACTTATTGTGACTAGTATACTTGTCGAGCATATGGTATTAAGTTTAACTTTATGATTTAGCTGGCGCAGGGCTATAAGTCAGTTACTCTGCTGTCGTGACAAATTGGTAGAGAACGTGTGTTAAATATAGCATTCATTAACGGTATAGGAAGCACAGACTCACACGCAACGGTATACAAGCAAAAATGTGGATATTGTGAGAAAAGTATAGGGAAAGACAGGGAAAAACACAGAAAAGTCGAACCCTAGGTAGGGCTCTTAGGACAGGGCGGGATATACAGGGGGCAGGGATTCACCTTTTATGTATCCCACTTAATTGAACAAAGTTTTGCATGTAGTCATGCCTCATTCCCCATACCCATACCCTTATCCCAGTCCCATTAAGTAAAAATCGTAGATTCACTGATTTCACACTGGTAGAAGGAAAAAAGATTGTCCAAAATCGCCCAGCAAAGTGTACGTCACAGGGATGGTAAAGCTATACTTGTTTCCAGATTAGCTCGCTGTTTATTTAGAGATGAAACAGGAAGTACAGAGGAGAGCCTCCTGTAGCTTAGCAGGGGAATCTCCTGTCCCCTCACCCTTGTCTTCGATTTGCCTTCTTATACATGAAAATCTAAATCTTTATTGTACCGGGTATTGAAGCCTCGATACACAGAAGCATCTTGCAACAAAGTGCATTATATAAAAATAAATTCTGTACATTGTAAAATAATATAGTAGTACACATGTATGACAAAAAAAAAAAAAACAATTTGTAATACTAAACCTGCTGCATTATGAAAATATTTTCACTATATCACAGTACAGTGTAAGTATAAGTAGCTTCTTTTACAAGTATCTCCTTTTGTATTTTTGCTGGAGCTTCAGTTGATGTCGAAGTATTTAAGAAAGACATGTGAAATTTAGCACCGCTAAATAAGTTGGGATACGACAATCCAACAAAGATACACAGTCTTCATAGAAAACACAGATCGTTCCTGGCGCATGGCTTACACCCGAGAAACTTAGATCAATACGGCATCGGGGGAAGTACATACAAGTCGGTAAATATCTACGGTGTTTTCCCATTAAACGCATGCGTTATCAAATCACTGAAACAAAGAAAAGTGGCAATGCATCCTTTAATCGTTAACCCGACAACTGTGACCGTTTAATTTAGCTGCTGGGTTCGGCACATTGTCGGGGCCTTCCGAACAGGAAGCTTGGCAAATTCTTAGTTAAAATCAAATATCAGCTTCTATAATTGAAACGGAAATTTGGACATTCGGTTCGACCACTGGGGCGGAGAGGAAGCTGACACAGAGCTAAGTGTTGTAAGTGGGATACGGGGACGTATGTATGGAGGAAAGATGAAGGGCGAAGTACACATGTGTGTGAGCTTAAAGAGAGAAAAATAGGGAGTGAGAGAGCTTAGAGAGAGAGAGAGAGGGCATGTGTGTGTGTGTCTGTGTGTGAGAGAGAGAGAGAGGGAGAGAGAGAGAGCGTAAGTGTCTTCTCAGAAATAAAACTAATACATTGCAATCTTGCTTAACTTCAGAAAATCCAAAGCATAAATTACAATTCTAAGCATGATTAACCGTAGGGAAATGAACAGTTTTTATGGTAATTTACAACATATGAGCACAGATTGTCATTTCTTCCAACTTATCGAGCAAAGATCGACCATTTAAAGCCGGATTACATATCAAGCTTTGTCTGACTATCTGTAGGGAAGTCGGAGACATATCCGCCACATCGATTTAAAAATACACACAAATTACACAACAGATTGTTATTTTATCATCAAGGTCGCTTGCCAGGAAATAGAGTTTCAAATATAGTCTTTGGTGCTTACGCACTTGGAGAGGTGAGTTGCAGGTGAAGGAAGAAGTTAACCCAATTAATGAAATATGTCGATTTTCAATTGAGCGGTATTTTTTTTCTTGACGAACCTGATTCTGATTTATTGCACAAAAAGATGTGTTTACGTATAGGTTCCGTTGTCACTACAAGCCCCCCCCCCCCCTTCCTACGTACATGCATATACATGTACGTGTTTTAATGTTTATGGGTCAACCATAAAATAGCTAACTATTGTTTAACTGTGATAATTAAGGGATGGAGTAAAATAGTTTAAGATATAAGATCAAGTTTATTATTTAATGAATTGCATGTTTTTTACATTTTTTACACTGCACGTTTTGGTATTCATTTATGATTTCCACAATTCAACACTTTTTTCCATTATTAAGGCTACTTCATTGTTCATTGTTTTATTATTATTATTTTAATATTTCTTTCTACTTAGTTGCCTTTATCATTCCTTTCACTTATCGTCATCAAAGGGGCTCGAGGCACTTATTTCATAGTTCATAGCTGTTTACTTACCAAATGCGTACATAAAATATGTTCCCTCTCTCTAGCGATGGATGTAAAAGGAATGTTTTAGCTTTATCTCAATATCTAAAATGAGAATGATAAAGCAAAAATAAATAAATAAATAAATAAATAAATAAATAAATAGCACCACTCTTGTTTCATAGTAGTGGTATTACATCAGCTTACAGAAACAGGAAAGTAATACTCAACTTTCTGTATAATGGAATATGACGTGAGTGAACGCAGCTTGACATACCCTGTCCAGTGCACGCGTACCAACTAACACAATGGCCTGGAATGGTTGTTTCTTCTAAGAAGAAAAATAATTGAATAATAATATTTTATGATAAGATATTGCTTTCTGTTTAAAGACAATTCATATTTAGTTTTTGAAACCGAGCCACAAATTTTGCAAATCCGTCTGGAGAAAATTATTTTTAAGTGCAGCTGTACTGGGTTTGTCCACCAGTATGTGTGTTTGTTTAGCTTCTGTTGGATTTGTGTAAGTTTAACTTCCTGAACAATGAACTAAATTCTATGATACAGATAGTCAGCAGTAACACCAGGGTATAAACGGTTGCCTTAGTCATCGCAGCATGCCATGTGGAAAACTGCTGGTCAAACCGGAAAGGAGTCGCGAGTAACGTAAGGAGTGTTGATCACGGAATGTCCTGACTTCCAGTTTTATCCCTTCAACCTGTCTTGTTTATTCGGAATTCCATTAATATTTTTTTATCATCTTATTTATAATAATTTTTATTTTTTTCAAATATACTATTATCATCTTTATTATCATTATTATTATCATTATTACTATTATCATTATAATTATTGTGCATACACCTTTGTTTCATATTTCGTAGCAACAGTTTTGTAACAAAAAAAAAAAAAAAGACATCTGGCCTGTGCACATATAGAGAATAACTTGACAGCCTTGGCTTGCAATGCAGGTCGACCTGACAATTAACGCTTGACAATCTTTGCGTGGCGTTTTTCTAGATAATAAATAATGGATATAGGTAAAAAAATGCTACAATGAGGAAAATCCTATCGCAATTAATTTTAAAAAGTGACCAATAGAACTCATCCTTAACCCAAAGAACGGATGTGGTTTAACAGCGCCGCGCCATAATACACTATCAACAAACATCAAGGACAGCACATCCTTTTTCGTCAGGTTTGACTAACATGTGGTCAATGCATCGTTATTCTCACGCGAGTGACGGTTATATAGAACTGTCAGCGAATGATTTAGTTTATTTTCTGCAAGATAAAGGGACGTGGCGGTAATGGCTTTCTTCAAATCGTCAATATTTGTAGTCTGTCTCCTCCTAGTGTTACAAGTGAGAGGATGGCCTTTGTGCAGAACTTGTTACAGCAGATATTACGGTGGGTTTGTAGTCTTTCTAAAACAGTTTAAAATGTTTTCTGACAACATTTATCATTTTATTGAAAATCTTCTGTTCGATTTAACTCATGCCACAAGAAATGGAATAACAAAGCACTGGCGCGCTTTTTTGTTTGAGTTAGTGGAGATGAATTACGCTTAAAGTTACAGAGGTGACATGTGTCATTCACTGGGTAAACTTTAAAGGTAGGCATTTTCTATAATCATACAAAGCAATGACGTACAAATTTCCTTGATGTACCCACTGGGCCGTAAATTATATGTGAGGCAGTGTTTCGTCATGAGCAGCGACGGACAAATGTGTAATCAGCTGTTGGAACCGTCTTTGTATTTCTTCAAAACGTGTTGAGTTTTAAACTTTGTTATTTGTTGTTGGAATAATTCGGGCATAGAGGTTGGCTTATTCAACGGATTCAACGGCAAAAAATCAGTTCAGAACATTTATTTGTTTCTCTTTTTTCCAGGAATGAATTATGACGATATCTCATTTATATTAAAGACCAACGTTTAAAGTGCATTTCTTTTCAAACTGAAAGTGTTGATATATTTTGAGCTGTAAACTTATTAAGTAAGAGATTAAAGGGATAACAACTCTTCTTATGAGATCTATATTTCACAATAAAAACATTCTAAACAACTCATAGAAATATAGTATATTCTATTTCACCACAAAAACGGCAGTAAAAGCAAATATTCTGAAAATATGCTTTCCATTGTACCATGTGCCCGCCATAGATGGCTATACTCTATAATAATCTCTTAAGAGATTATTACAAAAAAAAAAAAAAAAAAAAAAAAAAAAAAAAACGTTTTAGGAAAAAAAAAACAAAAAACAGGGACTGACTTTGAATGTGGAAAAGGATTCATTGACAATTGGTAATTACATGGGAAAATTGTTGTTTACCCCAGGAAAATTCATTTTTTCGCCAAAATGAACAGTTGTTATCCCTTTAACTTAATCTAAAGGCACTGCAAAATCCTTTTACCGCATTTTAAACCCTGCTTTACATATAGCTTCTACTAGTGCAATCTGTTTGTCTCTAGGGTCATCTCACAGGGCTCCAGACAAAGGATTTCCAGGACTGGTAGTGATAGACGATGACAACCCTAGGTCCAGGCAAGGGCTGCGTGTACCGCTAGAAGACGAAAACGCCCCCAGCCGCCAAGTCGCCTTGTCCAACGTGCACGTTCCGTATACAGGGTTTCTGCAGCATGCGTACGGGCAGCAGGAGCGGGCTTTAGCAAAGGCGCAGGCAGCAGTTTGAGACTGTTTAAAATTTGTGCACGTATTTCTTACGAAACAGTGTTGGATTAACGGCCGTGAAAGACTTGTAAAGTAATTTACTTCATACAGTTATGTATGTGTGTGCTTGGACCATAATGCATGGATATGGAACTGCCGCAAAGATAATACTAAGACTCTCTTCCGCCCGCCACACCCTTACGTTCCTTTTGGCAAGACGTTCAGGTCACGTGGTCTGCCACTTGTCTCCCATGTCTCCCAGTTTGTCTCCCATGTCTCCCAGTTTGTCTCCCATGGCTACGGTGGAATGTTCAAAACATAATAAAATTAAAAGAAAATTTAAAAAATGCAGTTTATACGGTTGTTTTTTTTGTTTTTTTTTCTAAATTAGACAACTAATCTGAGGATAAATTCAATTTTCAAATTGGTCTAGCCGTCATACAGGTACCTATAAGAATAACATATCGGCATTAGAGTATAGCAAACTATACCAAGATGCAGTGCACTGTATTCAAAATTTTTTTCATTTTAACGACTCAGCACCAAGTCTACTTGTACTAAGAAAATCAAATATGGCGGCGTCGGGTAAATCTGGCATCGACCCCGAGAACTCGCGGTAATAAGACAGATGACAAAAGGGTCGGGAACTTCATTATAACCAATTTTTGAAAACAGCACTGGCTCTTTCGACAACTAAGAAATGATTTGAATATCTCATCGACGGACGCACATGGCAACTGCCGTTCGGTGGTGTACACCGGGGTAACGTTAACGAGGGTCCATGTAACAGAAAGTCCGCGCTCCATTTAGCCATAATGGTTAGGGTTAGCTTGACCTAACTGGGTCAAAATCTAGGACGTGGGTTAAGAGTGGAATGTGTTACAGAATTAAAACATTTGTCTATGACAACATTTATTTCATATTTTCAACACATTTGCTTACCCTTTCCAGGCAGTCCCCGTGCACATACCTTAAACATTCTGTAAATTATCCAATGCTTTTTATGGGGCACCTGATTTTGATACATGTAATATACTCCCTCGCAAAAAACTCAACTCAACTGCACTTATGTACATTGCTACCCTGTACATGGGTACCCATTTACTAAATCTACTACGACGTAACACCCGGGCAGCTGATCACAGTGTAAATTGAGGATGTGAGTAGTAGAGCACTGACGTACGTAGCGTGACCATTGAAATACCCCAACACCAATTGTAATTAAAATATTATCAAAATATGCCTCCTTGTAAGCAAATGTGACTGCTTGAATTCACACCAAGCTAGGTTGCCAAGAGAAAACCACGTATCACTTTGGTAAACCCGTGAAAAGAGTACCATCGTCTGCAAGAACAATTTCATGGACCGTACAGTGAAACGCGCCATTTTGTGTTTTTTGATGGGACCATACTAACCATAAACAACGATGATGAACAACGGAAGTATATGGAGATGATCAGCCACGGCCTGTCTGCCATACAACTTATGTTTCTTCATAAGGCAAAGAAGAAAAATATATAATCAAATAAATATTATACACAAATGATCTTGTGCAAAATGCGTTGATTACACGTGCGTTTGGTAACAACAACGTGCTGATTTGGTTACGCGGAACCTTTACCAGATAACCATGCGACAGAGTAAGAACATTGCCATGATCAACATGGTTTCACTTGCGATGACCAAGCCACGGCTTTTCTTTTGCACTGGTCGTTTTTCTGGTTTGCGATCATCATCTGCCTTGCCGTCATCCTCATCAGCTCGGCGCGGGCAGTGCTTTGTGTCCTGCGAAGAAGGGCGCACGCGGAGACGTCCTTCTGGTAGTGAGATTTCTTTAGACTTAAGCTCATTCTCATAGAAAGACCGGATACACGCCAATTCCTTCAAACCCTGCCCATAATCTGCCAGAACTTCGATGAAAGTCACCGGTGTTTTAAGAGTAACTGTGACGTTGCCAGTAACCGGGTCGGTCATGATTTCGCACAGCTGCAGCGAAGGGTGGGTCACGGTGCCCATGGGCTTTAGCTCAATTTCAAGTCGGAGGATATGGCATTGGAAGGGATCTGAGGGCGACCAGCCTAGGGGCTCGAACTCAAGTATCAGTAGGTAGTTTGCTTGGGTGAAGTTGTAGAGAACGGGGTGACAGGTCTGTCCATCCGCCACGAAGCCAGGCGGACACACCAAACCACTTGCGAAGTCCTGAATTACAAAAACATCCTTATGGGTGTTGTTATTTGTTAATAGGATATTTTCGCCAGTCATGGTACTCAAGAGGTTACTATGTGTCAGTTAATTAAAATCCATTTAGTTGAAATTTCACGTAACTATATGTACCAATAACCCTTATTGCAACCTATATGTTTCGAAGCACGTTTCACGACAAGATTCAAACGTGTACAGTGTGAGATTACACGTTTAGTTTTACTAGGAATCGGTCACATTGAAGTTCAGGCAAAGACAAGTGTAGCCATTCATAAGCCATGGTTAAATTAACGTATACAGGGACCTATTGCCGAGAAACAGGCATCTGTTGCCAAGATTCAGGGACCTGCTGCCTAGATACAGGTACCTGTTGCTAAGATACAGACACTGAGCTTACCTGGATTCCGTCTGCCTTTTGTTTCTCCTCGATAGCGCCAATGTAAAGGAAGGCGCTGAAAGAAAAGGCGTCAAGTACAAACTGCTTAGTCGGATCTGTTGCCGGATTTTCTGAAATAAAGTCAGCACAGTGAACAATCATCTTTATCAAATGGAATACAGGGGTACATTTCATTCATATTTTTATATCAAATTGAATACATGTTACATTATTGAAAGATTGTTTTTATTACAGTATGTCGGTTATATTACTGAAAGAGCTCTAGCCCACGTCGCTGTGACATTTAAACAATGCAATGAAGGTTTATAAGAAATTATGAAATCGGTAAATATCCATGAATGTTTTAAGTGCAAAACAAAAAATAAATAAATAAATAAATAAATAAATAAATAAATAAATAAATAAAATAAAATCTGGCGGTGCACTTATCTATCCTTTCTAGGGAATCGCACACAAGGAACCTGGTCCGATTTTTATACTTGCTTATAGGAGAATACACGTTCAATATGAATGGAAATTATTAGGAAAACGTGAAAAAAGTGTTGGAACAAGTTCAAACTTGCATATTTACATAAAAGGCTACGCTATATTCTACAATTTCCAGTCATGCTTTTAAGTTGTAACCATTTTGAATGTCAAAACGTATCTAGTTTAAATATGAATTAGATTAACATATTTTAATAGAAATGATAAAGAACATGCAAACGACAATGATGCCTTACCCCTGCACCTAAAATGCTTCAAGCCACTGTAGCACAGCAGGCAGTGGTAGTTCTTATACAAGGCGTTGGTTGAAGCAACCTGTACTGGGTTTGTGTAAGCCTTGCAAGCATTCTGTAGAGGTGTGTCGTGTTTATAGTTGGACCATGTGACGCGGCCTTCAACAATGGCATAGGTACATTCCGGATAATCGCTATCCGTCAAGTCAGGAAAGCAAAGCAGCGCTCTGGTACTTAGATTGTCTTTAAAATGTCCATTGCAGTTGTATGCATTCTCGCGTATTTTCTCGATAACGCAGTCGAATGATCTGCATTCCAAAAGGTCCAAAGCTGATGTATACCTACAACGAACGTATAGTTCCCACTTTTTACCGAGTTCCACCCCGTGGCACAATGCGCAGAATCTGTTTTTATAGGCAATCGAAGTGCTTTGATCAGTCACAGGTTGGTTGATGGCCACATCTCTCTGCGTATTGATATTGGTGTAGACGGCCGAGCACAGCTCTCTAACGACATCGTCTGTCCACTCGTCTGGACACTTGTCCACCATCCAGTAACGTTCAATGTGCAATACAGGGCCTTTGGTGTCCTCGTGGATGTCATTTATGAACGCCGGTGTGTAGCAGGATAATTTATTCGCAATCGAACTCGCGGTGTACGTGAGAGATGGCGACTGGACTTTCTTCTGAGGGAGGCTAATCGACGCCGGTTTGACATTTAAACTGCGAGGCGATGCTTGATTTACATCTGTTCCGACTTCAGTGTCATTCTTTCCGCTGCTAACATTGAAATCGCCCTCATTATTCACACCTAAGTTGATACTTTTGGAGGCATTTTGCTCTACGTGTGTAGCTGAGATGTTAATGGCGTCATCAGGGGTAGATGTATTGTTGAGCTGCGTTGTCATTTGAAGCGGGGTAGACCTGTCGTCCGTAGAGATATTGCACCTATTAGAGACACCAAGGCAGCAATCATTGAAGACGTGGCATAATGCATCACAATAACAATACAGCTTGAAGTGAAAGCCGTGTGATTTACCAGTGATGGTTATACCGCACTGCCAGCGCAGAGGTGTCATTGCCAGACCGTCAACTGTGGCAAGTGAGAGCAACTCCTCCGAGGGCAACTCGGTCGCCATGTTGGTATGGCTCTCTGATCCCGACGGCTCCATCATGCCATGCGGTTGAACAGCAACGTAGGGATTGGTTGATTCCCCCTCTCTGGCCATCCCCTTCTGGGTGTCGTCTTTGGATTCATTTGCAGGTTTTCCTTCCAACGCAGCTAAAGGGTCCTCTGCCGGGCTCTGGGAATATGGAATGGTTGCCATCTGTGTATTTTTGTCTGTTTGGGTGTTGTTCTCAATATAGGAGGTATCGTGTGGGCGATCGACTCCTACCGATTCTGCGAAGTTTGCTGTCGTCATTGCGGTTAATCCCGGGACTGAAATACCGAAAAGCTACCTTGTTTATGGTTTTGCCTTCGATTATTATTGTGCAGTGTACTTAGTTTTTAATTTGCAATATAACTATTTTCACAAAAAGAAAAGTGCAAAATTTGTATTGTTGCGTGTGTAAGTACATTCGTTCAGGGTTGACTCAAATCAACAGTCTCAAAAGTTATGAATTTGAACTTTAATTAAATTCCTTTTGTAAGAACGTCTTCAGTTGATTATAATTTCAACTAGGGCGGGTTGTTATACATACAACAGGTAGATAGCCCTCACAGTACTGATTAAGAGTTTTTCACGTTACGAGGAACATTTAGGGCTTACTTCTTAAAAATTATAAAACAGCGTAAACAAACGTACATGTATATGTGCAATAGTGTTTCGATCGAACAATGATTCGTAGGTGAGAGAAAACTTTCAAACAAACTTCGATTTTGCAGAAAAAACTCGGATTCATGTAGAAAACCCATAAGACATGGTGCCATGAGACACTGTTAGTACATGTACCATCTTTTGCATGCATTTATAGCAACTTGCAATGGAGTGCGTTTATAAAATATAGATAGACGAGTGCCATTTCATTTTTGTACAGGGGTCTTCACAGGCAATTATTCTAAAATAACAAATTAAACCCCATTTCTTGAATCGCTTTAGCAATGGTGTTTCAGAGGCATATCTGGATATGTTTTTATCATTATTTTGGCTACCGTATTTGGAAGAAAGTTTGAATAGGAGAGGATTGAAACTATACGATTTAGATCAAATCTCAAAATTATGACGAAACAAAAGACACAACAACCGCTGAAAGCGTACATGCCATAGCAAATGTGTGGGATGCCGAAAACCGCAAAGATCAAGGAGAAGACTGTAAACAACCAATCGCATGTGGACATAGTGTGAGCCTTTGTCATGCAACAATATTTATTCCTGGACAATAGTTATTCCTGGAAATTTTAATTTGTTGGATCGTGCATGACTATAAACACTATAAGAATGTGACAAATAAAGAGAAAAATATAATGAATTGTATAAAAACTGCAATATGTGTAAAGGTAGTTAGGTCTACGACAGGGCATTCGTATTCAACCCGTAACGTTCAACACTTTGCGAAATAAGGAAATGAGCCGTATATCCACAGCATTAATTATTTTTATGTTAATTTCACATTATTCCACATTATTATTTATTTGATAAATTAAACGATTAATTAGTTTAATTATTTCGTGTAACTATATAATTACATTTAACTCCGTTTTCACCACCCCAATACAGCCCATTTTCAGCCTTTCCTGAAAATTTACCAAAATCCCTCCATAACTTTTAAATTAATGTCGATAACATGCTTAATAGTTAGCAGATCAATCAATAGATAAACGACTATCAAAATGTAATCACTTTAAAGTTAGTTCATATCTGACCTATGCTGAAAATTTCATCAAAAGGAAGCCTTATAGTGTTTGAGGTACATGTAGATTACTCACAAATCCAAACAAAAAAAATAAACAAACAAATATACATGCACACATACATACATACATACAGACAATAGGAGGTGAAAACAACCTTGAGATCCTTCGCGGAGGTAAGGAAAAAATATGACAATTTACCCAGGTTATATAAACAGTGACGGTAATAAATAGTCAATAAAAGATAATGAAAACTGTAGAGGAATAAAATGAAACATGCAAAAAACGCAAATGTCGATTTATTCTCCAGGTTATTACGAAAAAAGAGACACGACAGCCATTGAAGCCGTAATTGCCGGTGTCTGGGATGCCAAACACCGCAAAGATCAAGGAGAATACTGTACGTCTAAATACCAAATCGTACGTGAGCATCTGCCGGACAACAATCAATCCATTTGGTCCGATTTTGGACTCAACTTGCACCCAACATGCCGCAAAGGGCATTATGAAATATACCGGTGTTTATGCATGCAGAATGTATAATGCTTGAAGGTTAATTTTTGTGCTATGAGATCGTCCGATTCTATGAAATTATTTACGGCAATACCAAGAAGGGCATTTCTTTTCGTTTTTCGGGACGTGGTGCTTGAAGTAAAATCTAGAATATGTGAAGATGTTCATATGACTCAAAGAATAGTGGACTGTTACTGCTACATGTACATGTACTAGTGCGGGTACATGGTCAAAGGCACCCAGTATACTGGTACCTTCATGTAGACGAAACTGGGATAATAATAATAATAATATGAATTATTGAAAGGTTTACCCACTTTTAATGGTTTGTATCTGTTGTAGGGAAGAGGGACACAAAATCCTGAGAACAGCACAACATACCTGTATATAATTATTACTGAAGGATTACTTAAGTAACTCAAGTATCAAAATCACTTAAGTATTACTGGTACTACTACCACGGGAATAAAAAAAGGCAAAGTGCTGAAAAAGGCTTCATTTACTAATTAATAAGCAATCGATTTTATTGCACAAAAATACAGACTTATTAGTTTCACTATAGGGAAATTCCGATAAGTAATAGACTTATCCCGACTATCCTCGTCCAGACCTGATTAATTGCGCTGACGGAATACCTCTTTATTTCAATTATCCATGGCAACTAACTTCAAATGAAAACAAAAAACATTACAGCCCTAACTTTGGACACTGCGGATACACTGACGGTAATATTAATCCAGTAGATGAAGATGGCAACGCTGCAGTGTAAAAAAATGAAGCAATTTAAAGCTATTGTCGATCCAAATCCCGGGTTATACTGAAATAGGAGAAATAACCGGTGGCTTAAGGACACCAGGTGAATAGCCAATATATTCCAGCACCCTGGCCACCCCGAAATACACAATCTCATGATCTGTTCAACAAGAATCAATTGCATATGGAACGCCGTTTGTACAAAAATGATGAAAGTATCATTTTGCCTGGCCACAAGCTCTATAATTACCCCTTCGAAATGCATGCTCGATCGATATTCAAAATATTAAAGTCACCGTCTGCCACCGTAATAAAATGTTCAAACTTTTCCGAGTCCAAGTAAACTACAGTTAGTCACCGGAGTGACCCTATTCTGCAAGCTATTGAAAATGCCGACTGCAGTTGATAATGTTATACCACAATGGTTACTATCGGGTATCTTTATCATGTGGTAAAGTTATACATTTTCAACAGCAATTGTCAACTCGTCTTTTCGAAACTGAAAATGTTAAATAAGAAAGAAAGGAACCGCGGTTTACAGATATATCATTCATTGTGAGTAAGTCGAGTCATTTCAGTTATTTTTACCCTAGGAACTCAGTCGTGTGTTTCATTTATCTACGTCAAGCCCTAAATCCTTAAATCATTTTCTATTTGAAATATTATGGTAAGTTCTTATACGTGTACATCTTAACAGTGACCAACCTGTAGCTGACCGGCCACCAATGACCAGCATTGCAGCCAGAACCGAATGGAACCACCAGCCGGCGCCAAACTTCGTCATTGCGGTCCTTTACAACTGGCAATTGTTATCACCGTTGAAGGGTAGATATTTCTTTTAACATAACTGCAAGCAGCTGATTTTTATAGGGGTTGGGAAAATGCGTCAAGTGACACTTTACGTATATACAATACGTGCAAATAAGAGCAGCACGCTTCAGGAAGCCATACATGAATCCACACTGGCGTTGGCTTTTTAGCAAATTCCAATACAAGACCGCTGGAAATTGAATTTGAATTTACTGCACATTTTGTCCCATTACTACTTGGAAACTTGTGTAAGTTTGACATAAAATGTTGTCGCTTAATGATGCCAAACTATGGTATAGTTACGTCTTCGTTTCCATTTTAATGGAGTTAAGTTATTGTATAGTAGATTAATTTTACGTATTTAAGCCCTCTGTCATGGACTTACATATAAACAATTATGTACTGTTTTGCCAGTGTATGTTGGTACGTACAGTATGTTACAATGAAATATTTCAAATATTTCGTCTCGGTGAGCAACACGCGCAACATATCTAACTGCTCTGACGCAATTTTGTAAGGATCTGTGACCTTGGTTATAATCTCATATTCTGTACTATTTTGCTCATCGAAATAAGTTGCGGTTCATTTCCCTTGGTGTTTTTATTTTGTTCTCCAGGCCCTATATATAAGGCGCACCAGCAATGTAATGATAAAAATGTATTATGAAATGTGTTTTTACAATCTAATGATTTCCTGAAATACTAATATTCCATTTTTTTGCAGTGATTTACCTCTTGAGGAATGTTATCTTTTATTTTAATTCAAGGGGAAATTGATTTTTTTTTTTTTTTTTTTTTTTGCGGGGGGTGGGGGAGGGGCTGACACAGTGCATGTATATACTGCAGGAGGGCGATTTATTTCCCAGTTCCATAATCCGGGATTAACTCACATAATCCTGCAATGTTTCAAACATAAACTCTTGAAATTCATCAATGTATTTTAATTTTGTTCACATATCATCAAAATTGGCGAAAAACGGTTGAAGTTTTTGTGTTTCGGCCACTTGTTGGCTAGGTTCAACCCTCAGCTGCAGAAAGTGGCCTGCGCAGTATAGTAAACACGTGTGTATGTGTAAAGAAAAAAACTGAAACCGTCCTGTCGTGCTCCTGACAATAATACATACCATGTGTCATTGTTCTGTACCAAGCTCGGGTTTCCGTTAACAGGAAAAAGGAAAACATGATTAAAAAGAACATAAACACAAATCAGTTTTGCCAGACGTGGCGGCATGCAGAAACACTCGTTTCCTGTTGCGTAACACGCAGGATTTGCATAGGTATATAAGAAATTTCGAGCGAGACATAGCTATTATCAATTCAATCGAAATACTGGCGAAAGAATGGCGAATTTCAAACTCTTCTCAGTGACGGTTTTGCTTGGGCTGCTCACATTCGGACAAGTGTTCGGGCAGCTTGGAAGTCCGTGCACCGCTTGTTACGGTGGACGGCTCGGTAAGTTTGGGCCTTCAGTCAAGGTTTACATCTTAGTGTTCAGTGTTCTTTTTAATAAACGACGGTAATTTCGTGAACTTATTGCGAACATTTTAATTGTAGCCTACTGAGATGCATATATTCTTATACGTTGCATTGTATTGTGTTCAGTAGATTTAACAAGACCAGTTGTATCCGTTTTCAAAGCCTACACGGTACAATGGCTAACATGAACCTTCCTAAAGCCTCGGTCCCAACCCGACGTACGGGCTTCTACGTCTGGTCTACGACCAAAAATTGGGGAAAACGTGGGGTTTCGTGCGTGAGGAGCACGTTCATCCTTCAACTTTTTGAGGTCGCAGAGAGCACGTAGAAATTTTTCAACATGATCATAGGCCTCTCTACGTGCGGTCTACCAATTCTCAAAAAAAAAAAAAAATGGAAAAAGTAGGCCTACGACATGCGAACGTGAGGCGTTCGTCTATCGGGCGCTTGTCGTGCGGGACGTGTGAGGAAATTCTCTTTTCCCTCTGCGCTTGGGTGGCTACGGTGCGTGCGATGCAAGTGGTTAAGGCGCCCGTTACACGTACTTCCACGCACCCAACGTGTGGACCTCACGGACTTCGTGCATGTTGAGTGAGTACTGGTCACTCCATGCGCACGGACCGCGAGTTTAAAAAGAGGGCCAAAAAACATCTCAACACGCAAGACTATAGGATGAAAAGGACGAGTAACAACAGTAGGAAGTCAGCAAAACTGTCATACGTCCACTTGCGTTGCCCTTGCGCTGACCGTACTCCTAGTACGAATAACGTACGTAGTGCACGATGTTTGTAATTTGCATGCACGGGGCGCGCGGGACAAGTGGGAAAGCTTGTCAGACGCAGCAGGTACTTCTGTGCTTCTCATGTACTTTCCACGCACTTTTCTCTTGAGCAATCCTTGCAATCACCAATTACTTGATTCCTTCTCTGCGATCTAGCTACGGCCCAGCTAGACGAGAGGAACCTAAAAAAACGTACGTTCTGAAAATCGTGCGTGGAGTTCGGACCCAGGCTTTAAAAGTTGAAAAAATCCGATTCTTTGCCATGGCTTGTATTACATGTAAGAATTGTATACTTTGTAACGGTATATGGGATACGATTACACTGCATTGCTTAACCATGCAAATTCGCATATTGAAAGGTTATATTATGACCAAATTAGTTATCAAATTAAAGTAGTTAGTAAAACATATTTTTCAGGGCATGGCTTCAGTAGATGCAGAAACGACGTGAGTCCGTGCTTTATGGCAAGATGCCCTTCTGGTTCTTGCAGGTAAGCAGAAAAAAGAATTTATTCTAAATAAGCACTTCAACACAAATAAGCATTCCTCTAATATATGGAAAATCAAGTTATTATGTAGGCCTATAATGTAGTATATTCCTTCCTATCCTTGCTGTTATATATGGTTGTCATATATTATCGTTTTCCTGTCTCTCTTCAGGAGTGGTTGCGGTTGCTCCGCTATTTGTGTGGACGACGACAACAATTGCTTCTATGCTATTGAACCATATGGAAACTAGCGTCGAGTATTGGCTCTATCAGTCTTACCGAGATTAATGGATTAATTAATTTCCTCAAAGCAATGTTTGGTTTAAAAGACTAATTATGTACATCTATATATGACAGTCTGATCAAGGAACGGGATTTTCAAATAGCGTGTATCACAGTCTGTTAGTTGTCGCAAATAAACTACAATGCAATTGCTTAATGTATATCAAGAGACGGAATTCTAGCTTAGGGAAAGTTTGGGCGCAGAGTTACATCATATTCTGTTAAAACACTTGAGAGCCTCATAGACTGAAAAAAAATTGAAAGGGTTATGCAGATCAAAATGTAAAGGAAAACAAAGTAACAAAACTGGCTTTATATGTAAGTATAATGTAGTTCGTTGACAACATTGAAGAATAGCTTAGGACTGAAACAGTATGAGTTAATTAATTATATTATAATGAATGCTGTCATAGGGGTTTAATATATATTTTTTGTAATTACTTTTCTTGAACAGACACGTTGCTAACAATTAATGATTAAAGATGTCTTTTGAGAATATTACTTTCAAAAAATAAAGTGTTAACACCGACGTTTTACATGCCTCTGGTTATGTACCGACTGAGATCTATGAAAAAAAAACAGTTGCTATAAACTTCAACTTGTCTCTCACATTTAGTAAACCAGGCATTCGATCTTACATCAAGTAGCACACGTTTTAAAGAAACTTCACGTATACGAAATACGCTTCAAGCTAGTCCGGACCGACCCCTAATTGTCAAATCTAGAAGCCCCTGACGCGTGGGTATGCCTCCTGTTAGATAGGCTGTTGACGCAAGCTGCGTTTTCTGGGGGATTCTATTGACATGCATCGGCTTCCAGAGACATTTTAAATAGAGACATATTTATACGGTAAATTTTGAACAGCAATGCTAATCTCATCTTGTTGAAATTGAATATGTTAAATGAGAAAGCGGTTTACAGATATATATTTAATTGTCAGTAAGTCGAGACGTTTCAATTATTTTTAACCTGGGAACTCAGTCGTGTTTCATTTATCTACGACAAGCATTAAATCCTTAAATCGTTTTCTACACGAAGTATTCTCGTAATTTTTTATACATGTAGATAGATAGAAAGATAGATAGATAGATTTTTTTTTCAACGTGAGCAGAGGGTACAACGCATTTTGACAACCCCAGAATATACATAAAATATATACAATCAGCGTAACAAAGTCAATTTCATAATTGTACTGAAGTTGGTCGAGTCAATATGGCCGAAATATATGTTAGTAAAACTATAACAAAATGTAAGCAATAGGAAAATAAGCAGTTTACAGCATCTTAACATTGACCAACCTGTAGCTGACCTGCCACCAATGACCAGCATTGCAGCCAGAACAGAATGGAACCACCAGCCGGCGCCAAGCTTCGTCATTGCTGTACTTTACAACTGGCAATGGTTATCACCGTTGAATGGTAGTTTTTCTCTTTAACATAACTGCAAGTAGCTGCTTTTTATAGAGGTTGGGAAAATGCGTCAAGTGACACTTTACGTATATACAATACGTGCAAATAAGAGCAGCACGCTTCAGGAAGCCATACATGAATCCACACTGGCGTTGGCTTTTTTAGTAAATTCCAATACAAGACCGCTGGAAATTGAATTTGAATTTACTGCACATTTTGTCCCATTACTACTTGGAATATTGTGTAAGTTTGTAATAAAATGTTTTCGCTTAATGATGCCAAACTATGGTACAGTTACGTTTTTGTTTCCATTTTAGTGGAGTTAAGTTATTGTACTGAAGATTAATTTTTCGTATTTAAGCCCTCTGTCATGGACTTACATATAAACAATTATGTACATTTTTGCCAGTGTATGTTGGTACGTACAGCATGTTACAATGAAATATTTCAAATATTTCGTCTCGGTGAGCAACACGCGCAACACATCTGACTGCTCTGACGCAATTGTGTAAGAATCTGTGACCTTGGTTATAATCTCATATTCTGTACTATTTTGCTCATCGAAATAATGTATGGTTCATTTCAGCTTGTGTACATAATTAATTCTTCCGGCGCTGTATATAAGGCGCACCAGCAATGTAATGATATAAAAGTATTATGAAATGTGTTTTTATAATCTAATGATTTCCTGAAATACTAATGTTCCATTTTCTCAGTGATTTACTTCTTAAGGAAATGTTATCTTTTACTTTAATTCAAGGGGAAATTTATTATTATTATTATTTTTTTTTTTTTTTTGGGGGGGGGGGGGGCTGACATAGTAGATGTATATACTGCAGGATGGCGATTTATTCTCCAGTTCCATAATGTTTCAAACATAAACTCTTGAAATTTTGTTTAATTGTCACAAAAAATGGCGATCACGTAACAAAACGGTTAAAGTTGTTCTGTTTTGGCCACTTCTTGTCTAGATTACACCCTCAGCTGCAGATATTGGCCTGCGCAGCATAGTAAACACGTGTGTGTGTGTAAAGATAAACTCAACTGAAACCGTCCTGTCGTGCTCCTGACCATAAAACACACCATGTATCATTATTCTGTACCAAGCTCGTGTTTCCGTTAACAGGAAACAGAAAAACATTATTAAAAAAAAAACATAAACACAAATCAATTTTGCCAGACGTGACGGCATGCGGAAACGCTCGTTGTCCTTGTGTGTATCACGCAGGATTTGCACAGGTATATAAGAAAATTTTGAATCAATTCAATCAAAATACTGGCTCAGAATGACGAACTTTAAACTCCTCTCAGTGGCGCTTTTGCTTGTGATGCTCACACTCGGTCAGGTGTTAGGGCAGTCTGGAAGTCCGTGCACCGCTTGTCGTGCTGGGCAGCTGGGTAAGTTTGGACCTTCGGTCAAGGTTTACATCTTAGCGTCATTTCAGTGTTCTTTTTAATCAACGGTAGTAATTACGTGAACACCGCACATTGTAGCCTACTGAGATACATTTATTCTTTTAAGTTGCATTGTATTGTGTTCAATAAATTTAACAATTAAACAAGAGCAGTTGTATCGGATTTTAAAACCTACACGGTGCATCTGCTGACATTAACCTTCCTAATAGTTGAAAAAATCTGATTCTTTACCATGGATAAGCCGTGTATTAAGAATTACATATTTTGTAACGATACATGGAATACGCTTGCACTGCATAGCTTAACCATGCAAATTTACATATTGGAAGGTTATGTTATGATCAGATGAATTATCAAATTAAAATAGTCAATAAAACATGTTTTTCAGTAAATGACGTCAGTAGTTGCAGAAACTTCGTGAGTCCGTGCTTTGCTGCAGGGGAAAGATGTCGTTCTGGTTCAACTTGTAGGTGAGCAAAAAAAAAAAAAAAAAATTAATTCTAAATAAGCAAATAGATAAGATAAAATACTGTTGAGACTCTGCACATCGTAGTTACTCATTCATCACACAAACAAAAGACAAAAAAAAATCTATTGAGATGAATCTCCTGCAGTATCAAGTCACAGCATGTGTGCGGCTGAAGTCTTTATTCAGCAAATAAACATGTTATTCCAAAACATTTAGTTACCGTGACATTTACCTCCCAACCATTTTATAACATTGCTATTAGTCTAATTTCAGCTGAAATGCAAATTATTATCTACATTTACACATAAGGGCTGTTTTAAAAGTGATACTTGCTAAAATTAATACATGTGTTATCAGAAAATGTACACCATCCGGCACAGTGAACATAAGTGACTTCTTTAACTGAAGTAGGGCTTTTAGTATAAAAACATTATGGAAATGGAAAAAAAGACAAAAAAAAAAATGAAATACGATTTTGTCATATTCGGTATCAATATAGCACAAAAATCTTTCTACACTTTTACATGAGAAGAGTTGCTTTGATTCAGAACTTGCAGCTGATGCATGCAACTGTCAAAATTAAAAAATAAAAGAATGGGAGTATATATTGTTTACATCTTCCCTGTGATCTACAGTTTTCTACCAACAGTGACATCTGAAATAAAATACCGTTGATACCTTGTTGTGCAAAAAACCTGAGAAGTCGTGAAAATACTAGCTGATATACTACTAGTAATCAAATTGTCTTCGCCAACCCAAATGAATTGATCCAGATGTATCCACAAGTACTTGTAATACAAGAGTGGACAATAGTGACATATATGGTTAATTAATGTAATAAAAACTATCAATTATTACTTAAACACAAATTAGCATTCCTTTAATACATGGACAGTCAAGTGAAGGCGACTTTAACTTATCATGTATAATGTAGTATAGTCCTTCCTGTCCTTACTGTTATATATGGTTATCATATAGTATCGTTTTCATGTCTCTCTTCAGGGATGGTTGTGGTTGCTCCGCCATATGTGTGGACGGCAACAGTTGTTACTATGCTAGTGGGCCAGTAGGTAAATAGAGTCCAGTATTGGGTCTGTCAGTCTTACCAAGATTAATGGATTAATTAATTTCATCAAAGCAATGTTTGATTTGAAAGACTTATAATATACATTGAAATATGACAGTATGATCGCGGAGCGGAACCTTCAACTAACACCACAGCAGAAACTGTCAGCGTATGGTTATCACAGGAATATTGAACTTTTGTCTGTCAGTTGTCGCAAATAAACTACATGTACAATGCAACTACTTAATCTATATCATGATCAAGAGAAGATGTTTTAGTTTTAGGAGAGCTGGGGCGCAGTGTTACATCATACTCTGTTAAAATACTTGGGAAGTTCTCAGACTGAAAAAAAAAACTGAAAAGATTATAATGATCATAACATAAAGGACAACAAAGTAACAAAACTGGCTTAAGCTTTAGCATTAGATATAAAACAATGCAATTTATTTATTATATTTGAAGAATAGTGTAAGACAGAAACACCATGAGTCAATAATTAATATATGACATATTTTAATGTATGCTGTCATAGGTGTGCAGTATATTAGTTGCAATGACTTATTCGAACATTCACGCTGTTAACAATTTAAGAGATACATCTGTAGAGAAAAAATGTGCATGCCTATAGTTATGAACAGACGGAGATCTATAACAAAACTGTTGCATTTTTCTTCAACTTGTCTTTCAAATCTAGTAAACCAGGCATTCGATCTTACAGCACGTAGCACACGTTTTAAAGAAACCTCACATATACGAAATACAGTTCAAGCTTGTCCGGACCGACCCCTAATTGTCACATCTAGAAGCCCCTGATGTATGGCGGTGCCTCCTGTTAAATAAGCTGTTGACGCAAGCTGCATTTTCCTGGGGATTCAGTTGACGTGCATCGGCTTCCAGAGACAAGCGATCTACAGTTGTTGAACGTGATTGAGATACCAGGAGCCAACACGACCCAGCGGGCTGGCGAAAAGGCGAACAGATGACGAGAAACCCTATTCTAAATGTGTTAGGATTCTGCTAAATTCATACCTTATCAAATGGACAGTTGATTAAATCATCACAGAAAGGATCANATCCAATCAAAATACTGGCTCAGAATGACGAACTTTAAACTCCTCTCAGTGGCGCTTTTGCTTGTGATGCTCACACTCGGTCAGGTGTTAGGGCAGTCTGGAAGTCCGTGCACCGCTTGTCGTGCTGGGCAGCTGGGTAAGTTTGGACCTTCGGTCAAGGTTTACATCTTAGCGTCATTTCAGTGTTCTTTTTAATAAATGGTAGTAATTACGTGAACACCGCACATTGTAGCATACTGAGATACATTTATTCTTTTAAGTTGCATTGTATTGTGTTCAATAAATTTAACAATTTAACAAGAGCAGTTGTATCCGATTGTAAAGCCTACACGGTGCATCTGCTGACATGAACCTTCCAAATAGTTGAAAAAATCTGATTCTTTACCATGGATAAGCCGTATATTAAGAATTACATATTTTGTAACGATACATGGAATACGCTTGCACTGCATAGCTTAAACATGCAAATTTACATATTGAAAGGTTACATTATGACCAAATTAATTATCAAATTAAAATATTCCATAAAACATGTTTTTCAGTAAATGACGTCAGTAGTTGCAGAAACTTCGTGAGTCCGTGCTTTGCTGCAGGGGAAAGATGTCGTTCTGGTTCAACTTGCAGGTGAGCAAAAAAAAAAAAAAGGAATTAATTCTAAATAAGCAACTAGATACGATATAATACTATTGAGACTCTGCACATCGTAGTTACTCATTCATCACACAAACAAAAGACAGACAGGTCTATTGAGATGACTCTCCTGCAGTATCAAGGCACAGCATGTGCGCGGCTGAAGTCTTTATTCAGCAAATAAACATGTTATTCCAAAACATTTAGTTACCGTGACATTTACCTCCCAACCATTTTATAACATTGCTATTAGTCTAATTTCAGCTGAAATGCAAATTATATTATCTACATTTACACTTAAGGGCTGTTTTAAAAGAGATGATATATTTGTTATCAGAAAATGTACACCATCCGGCACAGTGAACATATGTGACTTTTTTTTACTGAAGTAGGGCTTTAGTATAAAAAAATTATGGAAATGGAAAGAAGACAAAAAAAATTGAAATACGATTTTGTCATATTCGGTAACAATATAAAATTTTTGTACACTTTAACACGAGAACAGTTGCCTTGATTCAGAACTTGTAGCTGATGCATGCAACTGACAAAAAATCATGTAAATGGGAGTACAGGTATATATTGTTTACATCTTCCCTGTGAGCTACAGCTATTCTACCAGCAGTGGCATCTGAAATAAAATACTTTTGATACCTTGTTGTACAAAAACCGTGAGAAGTCGTGAAAATACAATCTGATGTACTAGTATAGTAATCAAATTGTCTTCGCCAACCCAAATGAATTGATCCAGATGTATCCACAAGTACTTTTAATACAAGAGTGGACAATAGTGACATATATATGGTTAATTAATGTAATAAAAACTATCAATTATTACTTAAACACAAATTAGCATTCCTTTAATACATGGACAGTCAAGTGAAGGTGACTTTAACTTATCATGTATAATGTAGTATAGCCTTCCTGTCCTTACTGTTATATATGGTTATCATATAGTATCGTTTTCATGTCTCTCTTCAGGGATGGTTGTGGTTGCTCCGCTATATGTGTTGACGGCGACAGTTGTTACTATGCTAGTGGGCCAGTTGGAAAATAGAGTCGAGTATGGGGTCTGTCAGTCTTACCAAGATTAATGGATTAATTAATTTCATCAAAGCAATGTTTGATTTGAAAGACTTATAATATACATTGAAATATGACAGTATGATCACGGAGCGGAACCTTCAACTAACACCACACCAGAAACTGTCATCGTATGGTTATCACAGGAATATTGAACTTTTGTCTGTCAGTTGTCGCAAATAAACTACATGTACAATGCAACTACTTAATCTATATCATGATCAAGAGAAGATGGTTTAGTTTTAGGAGAGCTGGGGCGCAGTGTTACATCATACTCTGTAAAAATACTTGGGAATTTCTCAGACTAAAAAAAAAAAAACTGAAAAGATTATAATGATCAGAACATAAAGGACAACAAAGTAACAAAACTGGCTTTAGCTTTAGCATTAGATATAAAACAATGCAATTTGTTAATTATATTTGTAGAATAGTGTAAGACAGAAACACCATGAGTCAATAATTAATATATGACATATTTTAATGTATGCTGTCATAGCCCGCACGAAAATGCAGTAGTATCGAAGTAGCAAAGAAGCATTAACGCAGTAGTGGTGTGGAGCATATTTGCAGTAGAAATTCAGCATAGCCTACTGCAATTCTACTTCAAAAATTACATAGGGTTGTACAGAGGAGGAGCATTAATGCAGTAGATTAGCAGCATGATAGAAGCATGTTTCAAATATGCTAATTAGCTCCCACATCGAAGCACATTTGAAGCATGTTTGCAGTATGATTGCAGTAGTCTACTGCGCTGGAGTATCTACTTCATTTTCGTGCGGGAGGTGTGCAGTATATTAGTTGCAATGACTTCTTCGAACATTCACGCTGTTAACAATTTAAGAGATACATCTGTAGAGTAAAAATGCACATGCCTCTAGTTATGAACAGACGGAGATCTATAACAAAACTGTTGCATTTTTCTTCAACTTGTCTTTCAAATCTAGTAAACCAGGCATTCGATCTTACAGCACGTAGCACACGTTTTAAAGAAACCTCACATATACGAAATACAGTTCAAGCTAGTCCGGACCGACCCCTAATTGTCACATCTAGAAGCCCCTGACGTATGGCCGTGCCTCCTGTTAGATAAGCTGTTGACGCAAGCTGCATTTTCCTGGGGATTCAGTTGACGTGCATCGGCTTCCAGAGACAAGCGATCGACAGTTGTTGAATGTGANGAGGGTTAACATACCAGATCCAACACGACCCAGCGGGCTGGCGAAAAGGCGAACAGATGACGAGAAACCCTATTGAATAATGTGTTGGGATTCTGCTAAATTCATGCCTTATCAAATGGACAGTCGATTAAATCATCACAGAAAGGATCATTTATTTATAAATATGTACTCTTTTACATGCATGTCGTATCTGTAAAGATAAGAAAGGTAACATTACCACTTATTACACTCGATTTTCTCGCTTCTCTACTGCAGTAAATAGACAGAGCATCTTGCAAGCTGCAAAAGTGCCCTCTACTGGTAAGTTCAATCTAAGCCACAAGTGACGCATTCGCTTCCCCCTTAAACTAACTAGAGGTACAAAAGGAAATATCGTGCAGTTTCTCCACAATGGAGTGCATTTGTTATTGAAATATTTCGAGAGCAGTGTTGTCAACACTGCATGACATTATGAGAGAATAGAAAGCGTGAGAGAATCTGCTTAAGGTGATTTTAACTTTTCTAAGATACTTGCTGTTGAGAAAGAAATAAATATTAACTGTCACGCAAAATGTGACCCGTTCCCACTGTTGTACAACAAATTATAATTTGACAGAACTTAAGAAAAATCAAGCACAAAATATCTAATTCAATAAACAAAAAAAAAAAACAAAAAAAAACAAAAAAAAAAAAAAAAAAAAAAAAAAAATTTTTTATTTTTTTTAATTATTATAACATAT